TGTGTGTGTGTGTGTGTGTGTATTTGAAAGTCTAAGGGTAAGAGAATGACATTGAAAGAAGGACAAAGGCATATTTAGAAAATGAAAACAAAAAGAAAACAGTGGTGTTCTTAATTTCAGGAAAGTTTGAATTCACAATAAAAAGTAAGCAAGACAAAAACAGACACTTTATAGCAGATATAATCCTCAATCAAGACATATCAATCATAAATATTGCTATTGGCATGGCATCAAAATTCAAAACCTAAAGCTATCAAAAAATATAGTAAGTAGAATAATATATAGTAAGTAGACTCTAATAATAAAAGACTTTTTATTACATTTATTATAAATAATTAAATCACCTCATTCAAGCCATAAAAGATCAAGTAGAAATAAAATAAGATTCTGGAAGATCTAAAGACCTAGTTAATAAGGTAGAAACAATTATTATACTAAAGTCTACACTTTGAAGCCAAAAAATAAATGTTCTTTTTCAGGGACAAAAGACATTTCTAAGCACAATATAAGAGTAAAAAACAAAAAAAAAAAACCAGTTTGAATAGTTTAAAAATATCTGCATAGCAAAAAATATTATAAACAAAATCAAAAGGCAATACAAACTGGAGGAAATAATTACCCACCACATACAAGTAACTTCCATGTAGTAGACATTTTGTGTTTTTGCCCAGCACCCATTTCAGCACCATAGTTTTGCCCTGAGGCTAATATTCGGGTTATTTGCTTGTGGTGAGGCCCTACCTCAGGCCCCAAGATGTGTGGAACTCATCTACAGAATCGGTTCAAGCATAACCATGTGACCCATTTGGGACCAGTAAGGGAGAGCAGCTGACAGGAGTTTGTGCAGGCAATTGAAAAAGGATCTTCCATTGAATTTGGGGGTGTAGGGCTGTGAGAGCAGCCAACTTGGTACCAGATGAAGGTTAACCCGAAGATGAAACCGAAGAGGCAAAACCAAGGGAGTGTCAGAAATGGCATAAAACTAAATGTGCTTTATTCCCAGAGGAATTAACATTTACACAAAAGGGTATTAAAAAGAAGCCTACATGTCAGAACATGCACCAGGGAGTCAGTCCAGCTGGGAGGAGAAGGGAGATTAAGAATGGGCAGGCGGTGCGTCACTTCAAAAAAAAAAATGCAGAGAAAGTTTTAAACCAGCCAACAAAATTAAGACGAATGTAAAAAAGCCTAATATAGATATAACTTGCTTAGGCAATGTCTGGGAAAGAATGCAAACACTGTCGTACTCAGCCAATAAAGAACCAGGGGAGGGACTCCCACGCTAAGGAAGAAATTGCTTGTTGTAACAGCCCTGAGTGTGCCTGCTCACCAGACACGCGATGCTGCAAGACCGCCCCTACAGCCCCGCTGCGCGGGCTCTCTGACTCCGTGTCTACTTACGAAGTTCCGACCAGTGAGCGCATTTCTCACAGAAGGAGCCCCAGACACATATATTGGTGCCTAAATAGATAAGATAGAAATAATCAGAATGGTCGATGTCTTTAAATGTATTAGGGTGGGGTAGTGGAAGGGCAGAGGGTAAACAAAACAATTAGAGACTTTGAGACTGAATTGTGATATATAGAAAACTACGCAAATGAAAAAGGAGTTATTAGTAGATGTGGGTTAAATCATATTCCCCCAAAAGATATGTTGCCCCCCTCCCCATGCCACCTTCAGCCTTATAATGTGTCTCATTTGCAAATAAGGTCTTTGCAGATGTTATCAAGTTAAAGGGAGGTCATACTAAATTAGTGTGGGACCTAAATCCAATGACTGGTGTCCTTAGATGTGAAATTTGGAGATACAAAGACATACAGGAAAGAAGGCCATATGAAGACCAAGACAGAGATAAGAATTGTGCAGCCACAAGCCAAGGGAGACCAAGGGTTGCTGGTCATCACCAGAAGCTTGATTTCAGACTTCTGGCCTCCAGAATTGAGAGAATAATTTATGTTATTTTAAACCATCCAGTTTATGGTAATTTGTTATGACAGGCCTAGGAAACCAATACACTAGTTAATAGTTAACTTCAAAGAAAAGCAAAAAGTTGTTCAAGAAAGCAAATGTAACTGACTTAATACACAGAACATTCTGAGTAGCATTTATATAAACAGAATAATGTAAAAAATAATGATTATATAATCATATTGGGGGGATGGGGAGAGAGGGACTGGCAATTATATTTGTTTATTGGAGGTAGGAGAATTAAATTCTTGCCACCTTTCAAAAGAACTTTACCTTCTCTCATGGGAACTCAACAGATAATGCTAACGTTGAGAAATCAAGTTATACCATTATAAGCTTAGCATATAAAAAACATGGAAATAGATGGCCAAACAAGTGAAAGTTGAAAATGATCACCTCTGAAGAATGAGACACAAGAAACTGGGTGTTGGGTACTACAGTAGACTTTTTCTTAATAGATTGTAAAGAACTCTTTGGCCTGTTAAAGTATCCATGTATAGACATTGATGAATATAAAAACAAACTTAAAGAGGAAAAATAAGCAAAAACAGGTAATTCACAAAGGAAGAAATTCAAATGATGAACATATGAATACATGCCTAACCTTAGCAATTAGACCAATTCAATTTAAAATAAAAAATAAGTCTAATAAAATAAAATTAAATATTAAATCTGCCACCAAGTATAATTAGTTTAGAGAGAAATTTGAAAATATATAGTAAAATTGAAAATACGCATAAACTACAACTCTACTGATCCACTCTGGCTTGAATCCCAGGAAACTTTTGTACAAGATCAGAAAAAAATCACATTTAAGAAAGTTACAGTGTTGTTCATAATAGTGAAAAACCTGGAAAGATCTAAATGCTTACCATAGATATTGATCCATTTCAGGTAGAATATTTTGTGTTTTCATATAATAAAAATACTATATAATAATTAAAAGAAGCAAACTTTATATATATGAAGACATAAATCTCAGATAATGTTCAGCAAAAAACAAATTTGAAAAACAATGTCCAGCTCGTTACTAGTTATACAGATTTGAAAACACATAAAACCATATGCCATTTTTAAACATATGAATGCAAAAGCAAGAGAGAAGTTACCGTGGAGCAAGGTTTATAACATGGAACTGAAGGTGAATACAGAAAGAACATCCACTTCATTTGAATATTTTAGTTCTTATATTCAAAAACTTTAAAGGAAATATGAGAAAAGACTAGTAATAGTCAATTCTGGGTGGGGTACTCAGAGTTTTAAAAAATATAATCCAAGTACTTTTCTGTGTTTTTATTTCCAAAACTTAAAAGACTAGATGTAGAAGAAAAATAGGCAAAAATCTTTTGAATATAAGCATGAGCAACTTTTTCCTGGACACATCTTCTCAGGCAAGGGAAACAAAATAAAAAATGAACAAGTGGGAGTACATCAAATTAAAAAGCTTCTGTACAGCAAAGGACACCATCAGCAGAACAAAAAGGCACTCTACAGTATGAGAATATATTCATAAATTACGTATCTGATAAGGGGTTAACATCCAAAATATATAAAGAACACACACACCTCAACACCCAAAAAGCAAATAACCCAATTAAGAAATAGGCAGAGAACCTGAACAGGCACTTCTCCAGAGAAGAAATACAAATAGCCAGCAGGCACATGAAAAGATGCTACACATTACTAATTATCAGGGAAATGCAAATTAAAACCACAATGAGATATCACCTTACACCAGTTAGGATGGCCACTATCCAAATGACAAGAAATAACAAATTCTGGCAAGGATCCATCAATAGATGAGTGGATAAAGAAGATGTGGTACACACACATGGAATATTATTCAGCCACAAAAAAAGAAATCCTTCCATTTGAGACAACATGGATGGACATAGAGGGTATTATGCTAAGTGAAATAACCAGGCAGAGAAAGAAAAATATCATACTATTCCACTTATTTGTGTAATATAAAAACAAAGCAAAACAGAATGAACAAAATAGCAGTAGACTCAGACACTGAGAAGTTACTGATCATTACCATGGGGTAGGAGTGGGGTGAGTGGGTGGGGAGACTGAAGGGGATAAAGGGAAACAAAAATTCTCAATCATAATATAAGTTGGTCACAGGGATGGTGGTACAGCATGGAAAATACAGTCAATGATTCTGTAACATCTTCCTATGTTGACGATAATAACTGCACTAGTTGGGGTGAGGATTTAATAATATAGGTTAACTAGTGAACCACTGTTGTGTATTTGAAACCAATGTAAGATTGTATATCAATTACACTTCAATCTTTTTTAAAGTTTCATTGGGAAACAAATTTCAAAAATTGACTCAAAAAGAATGCAAATTCCTGACTAGTGTAATAACTTACAAAAGATGTCCCAAAACATCAGAGAACTACCCCCTAAGAAAGGCACCCAAGCCCTGCCTGTTTTCTGAATGAGTTCCACCAAATCTAGAAACAATGTCCTAACTCATCCTGGGAGGGTAGCCTAATGCTGGTACAAAACAGAGCCAGAATTTTAGCATTCCAAATTCAGCAGGGTAGTTAAAGAAAAATGCATCATCTTGCTTGAGTAAAGTATATAAAAACAAGTGTGTTTATGATTTAGCATCATGGCCATCTTCGTACGTACAATACTACAGTAAAATTTAAATGAGAAAAAGAAAATCGTAATTTTATAGTATTAAGCTTAAAGTTCAGTTGGCATTTTAAAAAAAAGTAAATTTCAGTAACCATTACGTATTTTTTTCAATTCTTTCCAAACTAGGAATGGAAAGAACGCCTAAGTGAGAAGAAACACTCCCCTTGGTCAAAAACAATTGGGAATGCGCTCCATCGGTTACTAATCCATAAAACTAAATATTTTAAAAAGAAAAAGCAAATTCAGTAATTGCATATTATATAATTGTTCATTTAGAAATCCCAGAAGCATCTACTGGCAATCTTGGAAACAACAGGTCTTAAGGACACTTCCCGATCTGGCACCCAGCATCCCAGGCCCGACCTGCGCCCGAGCAATTGCGCTTGCGCGCTTAGGGCGCCTGCGCAAGGGCGGAAAGGAAGAAGATGGCGGCGCCAAGCTTTCCCACGCCGCTGCACGGGCATGTGGGCCGTGGCTCCTTCAGCGGTGTGTACGAGCCCGCGGAGGATACGTTCCTACTGCTGGACGCGCTCGAGGCGGCGGCGGCCGAGCTCACCGGGTGCGAGGAGGGCCAGGGGTCCTGCGGGGAAGGGCTCGGGCGTCCTGGAGAGGCGGCGGCGGCGAACCGAAGAAAGGGCTGTCGCCGCCCGTCCTGAGAGGAGGCGGTGTCAGCCCACTCGGCGGAGACTGACTCCAGAACGCCGATGCTGACGGTTTTCCCGCACACGACTGTGCCAGGGGTCTGTCTGCTTTTGCCACAGTGTTTTGGTCCCAGGAGCTGCGAACCTCCTTTTTACGCCAGAGTGTCTTTTCCTTTAACTGTTACACTGACATATACAGGCGCCTAAATGAAGCAGTATTGTAACATTCAAAACCAAAATATCCAAAAAACATTACTGCTTGTTAACATTAAAATGTTTACTAAATATTAAAAGCGGCGTGGCATTATTTAAGTTAGTACATAAAAGCACCCTCTAACAACGGACGGGCACAAAAACTAAATGAGGTTGTGAGGTACTAGAGTGGGGAGGTATTTTTAAACACACCGAAAAGCATGCTCAGCTCTGCAGCAACAGCCGTTTGCCACATGGGGCTACTTTAAATGTGGCTAGAACTGAAAGTTTCATTTAATTGTTAAAAATCTAGTTACATGCAGTAACCAACCTATAGAATTTTCGCTAGCACTTTATAAATATTAAAATTGATCTCCAAATGCTATAAATTTTAATAATGTTAAAAGCATGAATACCTACATTGTAATTTTATTTTTAATGGAAGGAATTTGGGTGATTAGATTTATTTAAATATCAAGACCAAATTGATTTTCTCAGGTTGAACAGCCGTCAGCTTCACAGATCTTACTGCGTTTATTTATCCCTTTTAAACTTGATTAGATCTTTCCATGTGTAAAAAGCCCCAACACTTATTGCACTGGTTTTCACTGTAAACAATGGAACTTTTGAATTTACTGGAATATAGAATGGAACAGCACTGTTTTAACTTGTCTTTTAGTCTCAAGATATCCCAGAAAGGTTTACAAGCACAAATTGCGTTGAAAAGTATGCTGTAAACGGAGCTGATTTTGTTACAAAGTTGGATTACTTATGGTCTTGGAATTCTAATTATTTATGAGACCATGATAGTTATTTTCAAATAAAAGCTGTCTGGTAAGATTCAACAGACTCCTTCCTACAGCTTAATAAAGGCTTGTGAGATGTGTGGACTGATCCAAAAGTTAGAAATCCCTAGACTTTGTTGGTGTTGGGTAGTTGTTGGGACAGTTACGTGCCAAAGAGACCCCAAAATCCCATCAGACCTATTTCTGCAATGGGGATAATTGGTGCTTTTGATGCATATATATCAAAATATGGAGGGAATTAATTGAAAGAACAATGGATTTATTATATTCAATAGCATTCTTAAGAGTATTATTGATATTCTGAGATCAGATACGATACTGTGATCAATTTTCCCAATTCAGTATATAGCTGTACAAATCTGGAATTTCTTTGCTGCCCAAAATACATTATTAGTAGAAAGGGGAAACTTTTTTCCCCCAGGATATACTAATGGATTTATGAATGTTATGTACATGATAAACATCTTTCATAAATATGGTAATAATATTATCCCTATCATTTTACAAAAAACTATTAACTGGGAGTTCCTTGTGGGAAGGCTTGATGTCTTTCATTTTTCTAACCCTCAACATGATCCCATTGTTTTTATGTAATATTTTGTACAAATTAATTGAAAGCCATCTATTTTATGGACTCAAACTACACACTCAAAATTTTAAGTTTTGAGTTATGCAATATTAAAGGAGCTCAAAATAGTCATCAGAAATTAGCTTGTTTGTAAATTTCTCTTGTATTTCTGTATATTTGCAGGTGAGTGATGATGCTGGAGAAATATACATTAAAAGCATGAGAGTTGTTCCCTGGTGTATTTTATGTTCACTGTGCTAATATTTATTTTATTTTTTTTTTGCTTTAGAGTAGAAATATGCCTTGAAGTAGGATCAGGGTCTGGAGTTGTATCCACATTCCTAGCTTCTTTGATAGGTCCTCAAGCTTTGTACATGTAAGTATAAGTTTATCAAATTCATTCACACCTTCCAATAAGAGATTCACTGGGGTATGACTGCTTGAATGAAATAATTTTTATAAGTTAATAATATATATCTGATAGTGTCTATTTATATATAGGAAGGTCTCAGATTGGGAATCATGTTTCTCTAACAATTATAATTACATGCTCAAAACTTAAACTGTATTACATAATTATAGAAGCAATGTAATAATTTTAGGTCATCTCTAAATTTGGATTTTTTTAGGTAAATAATCTGATTATCAGAAAAATTGAAATTTACAAAATTTCTTCATAGAAAATTTGAGAATATAGAAAGTATAAAGAAAATTAAAATCACTGTACATTTTACCGTATGTGGTCCATGTGTATTTCCTTCAGTTTTTCATTTCCTGTGTTTTTCACTTAACAGTGTATCATGATCATTTGCCTTCAAACATTCCTTTTAAATCTCATTTTTTGGTGACTGCATAGTATTCCTTCATTGGGCTCTTAATTTCATAAATTCCCTCAGATGTGTGCATGTATTTGTATTCTTCTATTCTTGGACATTACGTGAAAATAACAATCTCTTCATAAATATAACAAATCTTTGTTCATTTTTTTTTTCACCATAATGAAAGCATTCTAATTTTTTTCTTAATCTACTTTATATGCAAAGTCCTTGAATTTAAACAAGTAACAAATTTGTCTTGTGGGCATAGGATATCTGTAGTTTCCTTTCTTCTCTGTTTATAGGTGCACTGATATCAACCCTGAGGCAGCAGCTTGTACTCTGGAAACGGCACGCTGTAACAAAGTCCACATCCAGCCAATAATCACAGACTTGGTGAGCAGTTAATTCCTGTCCTTTTCAAGTAAGTTAAGATCAAGATGACTTAGGTCAAAAAAAACTTGAATGATTAACTTTTAACCCACTAAACAGTATACCCTATAATCTACAAAGTAAATTCTTAACTGATGTATGTCATCCATCTTGTTCACATTTCAAAGGATATTTCTACTGGTTTATACAGATCAGGCATCTTTTCATCAGAAGTGACAAAGAATCTAAATCAAACTGGCTTAAATAAAAGAAAACGTGGCTGCAGGCATAGCTGGTTCCAGGAACCCAAATGATATTACAGGCATTTTTTCTTACCTTTGAACTTTTCACTAGTGGCTCTATTTTTAGGCAGTCTTTCTCTTCATAGTAATAATTTGCTTTCATGTCTGTGTCTTATTTGTCAGCAAATCCCTCACCACCACCATGGAAAGAAACTCTATTCAATTACTCTAGCAAAAGCCCCAGAATGAGTATCATTTGGATCAACTTGGGTGATGTACCTATTTCTTAATCTCTCACTGTATCCAAGGATGATTGGTTTAGCCCTGAGTCATAATCCCACCCCAACAGCTTGGTTGGGATAAATGCTACCCAAGCCACTTGGATTGAGAATGAGAGGAGGTATATCTTCCCCAATGAAGGTCAAGGATATGTAATCAGAAAAAAGAAGGGAATGGGTCCTGGGGCAAGTAAAACCAACAAATGGCAATGACAGGACATCATTTTATTTAAAGTTACACATTTTTCAGTTGCAGTTTCTTAACTGTTTTAGATTATATTAATAAGACTTGGACAATTTGGGGTTTTGTTTAGTTATAAATGTGAAATGCCTTTTTCTAAACAAAAATCATAATAGTAGTTACCAGGTGGGCATAAGGAATATAAAATACTTTCTGTGCTGCTTGACCTGTTTTATTCTTCCACTGGTAAGAACTTTTAGCTTTTCTTTTTTAAATTCACAAGCTTTTAGTTTTTAAATTCACAAATGATTTTGCCACTTAGCAGGAATTAAGCCGAAGATGTAAGAAACTATTTACATATTACTGAAAGTTGTTACTGCTAGTAAAAACTATTATCAAAAAATGTATTCAAATGATTTATGTAAGATCAGTGTGGTGATTTTGCTCTTCACATTTTTTAACTTATTTAGTGTGCCCATAATTAGTATTAAATGCATGATTTTGATAGAATAGTAAAACTTCAGATATACAAAAAAGTCAGAATATCTTTTTTCTTTTTCAACTGAGAGGTAGAAACTGAGTGAGGTGTGTTTTTTAAAGTCATATAACCAGTAAAGTGATACATCCAGAATTTAAGCCCAGAACTTCTGAATCCAAACCTAGAAGTTTCACTGCTGTCTTAGAACATGATTGGTGGTAGCCTCTCATATTAATAAAGTGCATTTTGCTGTATGCATTTAAAACTTATTAGAGGCCTTTTTGCTTACTTCCCAATTCTTGGTTATATTCTAGTTCTCTGAGACTGTCTAAAAGCTGAATATAGATAAGTGAGGGATGCCTATAATTAGCCGTTTTATCCAGTCTGTAGTGACTTTCATATTTAAATCCATTTACTTTTTAACTCCATAGTTTTCCATTTTTTTCTTTATTTAAAATTCAGTACTGCAATAATTATTAGTATATAGTACTTCGGGGCCATCGTAAACAGTTATAAAGGAAATTCATTCTAGTTTCCATACTTAACAACATTTCTGGAAAATTATATTTTGGATTTCTTTTTACAATTTGAGAAACTTAATTTCTTTATGGAATTAAAAATAAAGTTTTTGGTTGTTTCAAATGTATTTCCTCACTCTAATATTACTAGAAGGAACAGCAGATTAAACTGGTCATCTTCCTTGCAGGCAGGGTACACCTGAATTTCTTCTCTCAAAATGGTTATCTTTTCCCTTTTTAAATGAGTAGAGAAAGAAAAGTTAACTTCTGTAACATCTCTTCAAAAGTACTGTTCATGGGTTCCTTTTGAATTGCATAATTAATAGGCTAGTAAGATGATAAGACTGGGATTGATTTTGGAAACCTGGATAAAATGGAAATTCTAAGGCAGTGTTTCACCATATATATAAGAAGCCCAGTGACACTGCCCAATACTTTGATGTTATGACTGAGTACTAAATAACTTTGAATCATACAATATAAAGGCTGTTTCTTCTTTAATTCTCTTTCAGCCATTCTGATTTACATCTAGGAGAAGGTCTCAGTTTGATGTTATTTAACACTACTTACACACTTAAATGCCCCTTAAACTACTTAAATGCCCCTTTACCAAAGAGAGAGCAGGCTTGCGTCACTCTTAGACTGACAACACAAATTGTGACAAAAACATTGTTTTACTTATATTGCCATTTATTCTTGTAGTCATTTCTGTTTCCAGAGAGTAATACTGATTTCCATTTACAGTAGTAATCTAAGCCCTCTTCACAGCAAATTTACTTAACAAAAAAAAGGTCCATTTAAAGAAAGATACCCAGTAAATAATGATAGATACCTGTACATATATGGGGAAAATTATAAGAATGTTAGTAAAATAACCACCACTTTGGATTCTACCTTGAGATACTTCAGTTATTCCATCATAAGAAACAGGCTCAGAATTCATAGGTTAAACTCACTACAAAGTGATAACTGAAGGAAATATCTTTAGGGGTAAGTATACATCCAGACATGATGTTTCGACTTTACTGTGCCTGTGAAGGTATAGGACAACATAATCAGGCATGATTTTTCAAATAGCTATCAGAGGAATACTTTAAATGACATTTTGCCCTCTGCACTTTCTTTAAACAGACATTTTTCTTCTTCCATAGAAAATTGTACCCAGTTTAGAGATTCATAAAATGCCAAACAATTGATACTTTCAGCGTCTCTTCCCACTATTTTCAGTTCTTTCTTTCTTTGGCGTCTAAATGCTTCAGTCAATACATTTATGAGTAATTAAAGGAAAAAGAAAAAATATATGTGCTAATGTTTTCTGTCATCTCATAAAACATTTCCCTTGGTTATAGAAAATAAATGTTAAAATTAGCAGCTGTAGCTTTATAGCTGTGTACAAATCTATGGAAAACATACGAGGCCTTGCCTCTTTCTTATCTTAATTTCTAAAAATGAACCCAGAGTGTAAATAAATGAGCTGTTGAAAAGCAGTTTTTCTTGAACATTTTATGTTCATTCTGATAGTTTAATTCCTTATTGTTTAGGTAAATGCATATAATCTTAATCTGAATGAAAAAGTAAAAATATCTCCATTTCTGTCTGATTTTGGCCCTGTAACATAGTTTTTTCTAAAAACATGGGAGGGTATTTATAAAGATTTATTTATTAATCTATTTATTTAATTCTGAATCTGCTTAAAATTCTGACTACTGTTGAACATTTAGGTCAAAGGCTTACTACCAAGATTGAAGGAAAAAGTTGATCTTCTGGTATTTAATCCCCCCTATGTCGTGACTCCACCTGAAGAGGTAAGACTTATAACAAAATTTAATTACTAATATTTTCAGCTATTTTCTTCCTAAAATCAAATGAATATCATATGATATCAGTCAGCTGCTAATTATCACAAACTGCTCTGAATTTACTCATAATTGTCAATAATTGGGTATATTGGTAGCCTTAGGAAAGAAACCTAAAACTAATAGAAATACAAACTGTGTCTCATATCTATACTTAAAAATCCCATTCATATCAGGCCATGGTGTTTAAATTCATATATGTGTGTGGGTGTCTTTGTATATCCTTTATCATAAATGACAAATTTGCAAAGCGAAGTATTTTTATTAACCTTAAATTCACATAGGAATTCTTTGTGAAAGTCTCGGGTTACTTCCTTTCACAGGTATTACCAGGAAGTGGGGGTAGGGGACCAGTTGTCATTTCAGGTATAGAAAAGAAATAATATTGAAAAAAAGTGATTTTGAAAATCTCAGTAATGAAGAGGTAAACCATGTTAACCATTTCCCAATGTAGAGAGAGAAAAAATGGTCAAGGCAGATACAAAATTTAATTATGGAGTAAAGCTCGCTTTCCTTTGAATTATTTTACATATTTATTCATTGATGATTATTCTCTGGCAAGGCTGATACCTCTTAACATTTACCAAAATAGGAAAGGCCTATCTATATAGGTGCTATTGCTGCTAGTGGCAGTTACACAACTAAGAAGTTATTGCTCTGCTGACATATGAGAAAGGAAATCATTGTTATAAGGTGAACAGCAATTGAGGGCAATGCAGCTTAATCAGCTCTTTAGGATAACACTATATGAATAAATATCAAGAGTGATAAAATGTTTTTGTCCAATAACCTCATCTAAACTAGATCTCAAAGATCTAGTATGGGAATATCATTCAACAATAGCATGAAAATTAAAATACACAAAATGTTTATTACATCTTTATTTACTATGACAAATATGAACCTATAATGTAACAGAAGAGACACAGTTAGGTAAATCATGGTCTATCAGGTCTGCAAACTACTGAGAAGACTAATAAATGAAAAGGAGATTCTGTGAACATGGGAACACAAATGGGCTTCCTTTCTCCCTCATTCCATTTATTAAGCTATGTACTCAGCTTCTCCTGAGCCTTACTAGCTGCTGGGGCATATAGATGACTGATTGTGGCAATACCTGGGCTCTGCCGCAGTCCTAACAGAGAGATCTCATGTCATAATTCCCATGAGCTGAACAATTAGCTGGAGAGCAGAATCAACAACAAAGATTTCCTGGAGTTGAAAAATGTGTTTCACAAAATAAAGTATCAGGCAATGAATTAAAAGGAGAATGTGGCCTCAGTTAAGACCAGAATCAGTGCTCTGGAAACCAAATGAATGAAATTTTTAAGCACATAGAACATGAAGATGAAAAAGAAGGAAATCATGAAGGTAAAAGATAAGAGATTTAGAGGATAGATCCAGGAGACATACAAATAATAGTAGTTTGTGCATGTAAAAAATTGTGGCCATACTTACTAGTATATCTAGAAACATGAGGTACTGTTGGCTTATGCCTGTGATCTGCGAAGGATCAGAAACAAGCAGGGGAAGACTCAGGAAGCAGGCAAAGAACAGACCACTAAATGTGACCCCTCTCTTTGAAGATGGAAACCTCCCTTGCATGTACTGTAAGAATGTTGGTGCAGGAGATCTTCCTGGAGGGCCATTTCTGTGCAAGGAGATAAACCCAGATAAGCATCCTTGGTGAGGCATATAAACCAGGTCAATCACACAGGGATCCTAGTCCATTCTGGAACAGAATGACAAGACAAGGCTTAGCAAAGAGTGCCATCACCACATACTCTGTTCACAGACCACTTTACCTGATGAAACATCCAGAGAATGGGCTCCGCCAAAATAGTGGTAAACCAAAGAAGAGGGAGACATGAAGCCCAGAAAAAGCGGTCATTCTAGAAATGCCAAGAAAGGGAAGTCTCCGGGAAGGAAGCCTTGACAAGAACCAGAGAAACTGACAGATTTCCTAATGTGATTAGCTTTGTGGAAAATTGTATTGAGAAGTTTATGATAGATATGGAAATAATTTAAATTAGATACAAAAATTTAAGCAAATGGATACATTGAATGCCTATCAATAGCTAAATAAGATATGATACTTTTCCACTATGAAACATTATGCAACTATTAAAAGAGTAAATTAGAATTATACCTGATCACATGAAGAGATTTGCAAAAGCTATTGTTGGGTGCGAAAAGCAAGATAAAGAATGTAAAACAATAATCCTATCTTTGTAAAAGATGGACAAAAAGATGTGTGTGTATAAGATGAAAGAGGAGACAAGCAAAACAGTAAAAGGTGAAAGTGCTGTTGTTTAAAAGCAAGTGTATGAACATATTTCTCTTATTTGTAAAATTATATATGTATATAATTATAGGTATAAAGAAATTTATTTTAATGGGAAACATATGCCATGCTATGCCATGCTAAGTGGATTAAAGCAGAAGGCATAATTGTATATAAATAATTTAAATTAAAATATGGACAAGAACCATTGAAGGAAATAGGAAATAATTGTTAGGGTTGAGGAGTTGTTGTTTTTTTTTTTAGGAGAGCAAGGTACAGGCTTTTATTTAGAAAGAGAAAGTGGCTGCCCCCAGAGAGAGAGAGAGAGAGAGAGAGAGACAGAAAGATGGCGGGGAGCAGCCAGTTAAGTAGTTTTTGAGTGATTTCTTCAAAATGTTCTTTAGTTTTGTAAACAATACACAGCAGTAAGGATCTAAAGATTTTTAATTCCATATACATTCTCATGGGTTTTGTCTCTAAAATAGATTGTTAGAGCAAAAAATACTTCAGTGCAACTTTATATAAATGGGTTTCTAACAAAGGTCTATACAATCATACTTCAATCTAGAAGAGAGTCCGATGTAGTATACCATTTGGAACTTTGTGCAAAGTACATCTCTTCCTAATTGTTCTGTATTAAGTAAGTGTAAGAATTATCTATGTTTCTCAATATAAACACTATATTTTAACAACTATTACTAAGACATTAATATGTACAGCGTACTATTTTGAAACTTTAAATACATTTCCTCATTTATTCCTAACAGACAAAAGTAATTTTTAATTTTCCTAATTTTGTAGTTGAAACTATTGTCTTCCTAATTTTAATGATAAGGGAGGACACTAATCACAGAGATTACAGACTTACATGAGGTCACACAGAATAGGAAATTCTGGGGGTCAGATGCAACTTTACTGCCTACTTGATGGCAATAAAATACAAAATATATACTTGTTTGGTGAATGTTACTTGGCAAAAAGATTTGGTTTGTGATTCTAAATGTAACTTTACATGAGCTAAAAGAAAAGTCTTTCTAATTGGTCACAGGTAGGAAGCCACGGAATAGAGGCAGCTTGGGCTGGTGGCAGAAATGGTCGAGAAGTCATGGACAGATTCTTTCCTCTGGCTCCAGATCTCCTTTCACCAAAAGGATTATTCTATTTAGTTATCATTAAAGAAAATAATCCAGGTAATACACACCAGTTTATATTCTAACCATTTTCTTTGCAGGAATCAAAAGTTAATAATGTTGACGACTGTAATTTATAAAGTAACCTGGAATGTTACAAATATAATCACTGACAACAGCTAATACAAATATAACATTCATGTTGAAAGAAAAGAGGTTTCAAGAGGTATATTTACCTGATTTTAAAAAGTACTGCCATTTGTTGGGCAAGGGGGGGGCAGTTTTTCCCCAATTCATAAACTGACTCAAACACAAAATCTATTAATGATTTCCACTTCTAACATCTCATCCTCAATATTTCATTCCATGTTCTGGTCTTCATGCCTTTGACTCTATGCTCCTTAGTTCATCTGCAGTTTTATCATGAAAGCTCTCTCTTGACATAGATTTTTTAATCATGGTTTTCAGATTACTTTGTAACTAAGTTAATTGTAATCTTTTCTTTCTTTCTGTACACCTCAGATTTGATTTTTATCTTATACCTTATATTCTCACCCCCTCAAATCACATCATGATTCCTAGGTGTTTTTTGGTAACTCTATTTTCTTAGTTCAGCCTTTTTAGTATTATTTATTTATAAAAGGGAAGGTTTGCTTTTTTCCATATGCCTGAAAGAAATAAGCTACTTCATTTACCACTGTGCAGTGTCACTGTTCAGTATGCCCATACCTTTATTGACTTTTCATCCAAAAGGAAGGGTATTAGGCAGAAAAAGGAGCTGAGCAACTAAAAGCTAATTACTTACTGTAATAACAAGAATAATTAATGTTTCTGTTGAGTCTAGAGTAGGCTACCCCTGCAATGCAATCCATTCAGCTTTATTAGAATACTCAGCAACACCTTGAAAATAGGGTACTCTTATCTGTGAAGTCCAGGTTCACTTTAATAGAAATTTACATGGTAAACATTGTTTCCTTAGATGAGTAGAATTTGTAAATACTAGTCTGTTTATCATCTTATTAAAACTGTTTAATAAAATGATCATATATACTTTATCAGATGACTTAATGGATTTTACCTTTGTTTTAATTTTCATTTTAGAAGAAATTTTGAAAACAATGATGACAAGAGGCCTACAAGGAACTACTGCACTTTCCAGGCAAGCAGGCCAAGAAATCCTGTCAGTCCTAAAGTTCACTAAGTCCTAATTTACAGTGTGTGTGTATATTATAATGAATATATAGAGATAGAATATAATCTGCATACCTTGAAACAAAATCATTTCTTGGTTAACAAGTAAAATTGTCAGAAATTTGTCATACAGAAAAAGCTGGAAATGTAGGGCATTCCCTTTTACTCAGGAATCAAGGCTGAGAAATATTTGCGTAAAATAATTTACATTTTATATATAAAAGATGTTTCTATTACATATGAAAGAATATTCATTTCAGCATTGCCTGTAATAGCAAAACAATGAAGTCTACCTAATGTACATCAGTAAATGGATCTGTAAAATAAATTACAGCATATTCATGTCACTGAACATGGGTGATTTATCTAGCCATTAATTATGAGTCAGGTCTGTATGTACTGAAGCAGAAGGGGTTCATGATGTACTCTGGAGTGAAAAACAAGCTGCAAAACAGTACTATCATATCATTATCATATTTTGGGAAAACCAACAGAGAGTGTATCCTTGTTATAATAAAATCTCAGAAGACAAATGACAAGAGAGAACAGCGACTTCCACTCCTGTGGTAGCATTTACACAATAATAACATACTGTATATATTTTTTAAGTTTTTTATCTAAAATTTCTTTAAATTTACTTCCTCTTGCTCATGTTAGAAAAAGCATAAAACCTAAATGTGATTTATTCCCACCAGGACGTTTAAACATTTTAACAGTAAGGTATTAACAAAGGGCCACATGGTGGAAATATGCCAGGAAGCTGCTCAGGCTGAGAGTGGGGGTAGGGAGATGGGATAGGTAAAGGGCCTGGCTATACCTATTTTGAGTTTTTTAAACCTACCAATGAAATTAAGACAAATGTAAGAGAAGGCCCAATGTGGATATAATTGGCTTACGTGATTTTCCTCTGGGAAAGAATGTGAACCCTGTAGTACTCAGCCAGTGAGGAACCAGGGGAGGGATTCACATACTAGGGAATGAATTACTTGTGCCAACTGCCCCCAGGTGTGCCTGCTCACCAGACACCCAATCTTGCAAGACCACCATTAAAGCCTTGCTCCGCTGTTCTCTTTGTCTCTGTGTCCACTTACTGAGTTTGGACTAGTGAGTGTTTCTCTCACAATTTGGGGGCTCGTCCAGGATCCTCTTGCCTTTGTGAGGTGGAGGCTCAAGCGGAGTGGGGCAATGCATCCTGCCCGGCTTTGGGCAGCCCACTCTGGGCATATCACCTTAGCACGGAAGCCAAGAAAAGACCAGAGACTGTTGTGAGGAGACAGCATGAGCAACACAGGGGAGAAAATGCAGGCACTGCAGCAACCAGGCAACCTCGGGCACGAGCCAAGGTAGGAAAATTGGCCTATAAGTACTGCTGTGGTGGTTAGGCATTTTTCGAAGGTCAGGTGTGTGTGACTGAGATGTGTCCTAGATATGAAGCGAGTGTGGACTCCCGATCCACGGTTCCGTTCTCCCACGAGGGAAATGGCCGCAGACAGATGAAGCGAATCTCAGGGTGTGTGTGAGAAACCTCCATTACAGGGGGTTGAGTACACAGGGAACTCAGACACAAGGACCTCTTGAAAGATGGGAAATATAAAGTCTAGGCCTAGGGAAACAGGGAAAGGGAACCAGATGAGCTCCCTTGAAATTCCCTCAGATAGCCTGGTGAAGGTTACAGTACTGGGGGGCGCCTCCTGTACCAGGGTCAAGGACAAACAGAAGATAATCAAATGTTGCTGTTTTGTCTGGATTAAAGTTGGATCGATGAAAACTGGCTTTGCCAGATTTAAGTTATTCATGAGAGTAATAAAGCCTCCAGTTCACCTGAGAAAGGGACTATGCACTCTTGGTTAGCAAGGGCACTTCCCATATTTCTCCTCAACACCAGAGAAGGGAAAGCTAAGGAGGAGGAACTACAAGAGACTTCCCAGGACAAGTCCTGGTGTTGGGGGAGCCTTGTGTGTTTTCCTCAGTCCTGCCCCCACCACAAGTGGAGAGTTGAGGGGCAGGGACACGGAGGGGGGGGCAGTAGAGTGAAAGTTTTGCTTAGAGTTACTTGGGGAGAGAGAAAGTGCAGGCCACCTCTGCAGGGAGGGGCGCCCTGGGAGGTTGGAGAGAGAAAGTTTGAAGTTAAAAGGTTGCACACTTTGAGGATGCAGGTGGCCTTGGAGAGAGGAGTGCCCCAGGGGTTTGGGGTTCCCCTTTTTAAGGATTCTTTAGGAGTGTGGCCAGGGGCTGGAGGTGTAGACTTGTTAGGTGGTCTCAAGTATCTTTGATGTGACATTAAGTTTCTTATCAGTCCTCTGCATGATTCTGCAAAATTAGCTTAACACAAGAAATGTACTGCTTTGATCACCTTCCTGGATAGCAGCTTCCTGGTTTGGGAGCATATCAGGGCTGTCTGCCCTTCCTCCAAAGTGGGCAGAGTTATTGTCTGTTTGCTAATGAATAAGTTGAGAGTCTTGCTTCTTGACTTCCTGGGTATTAAAATGCAGTCTTTGGGATGGAATCCTTGCCTTTTGCTATGTTGTTTATGGCTGGGCCTGCATGCTGAATTGATTGCCTGGGTTGCAGACTACTTGGTTGGGGCTGGAGGGAGAAAAAAAATAGCAAATAGGTTAAGTTAAAAATGTATATATATAAAATAAAGACATGGGCTATGCTGAGGTACCTTCATCTGAGGAATATTCAAACATTCCAGGCCAAGTTGCTCCTGTCTTTTTGAGCTTTAATTAATTAACTATGGGTCTTTTTAGTGGACTGTCCTGGCCTTTTTCTCTTTCCACCCCAATCATATCTATTTTCCTGCCTAACATTGGGACCCGCTTTTTTGTCTCCCTCCCCCTTATAATCCTCAGGCTAGGACTCGAGGGGAACAAAGCCAGGAAGATCAAGTAAAAGACTCAGGTTCATCTGAGAGACAGGAGCCTTTAGCCCCTACTCGGCCTCCTACAACCCCCTATTCTAACCTTAGAAAGGAATTAGAACAATATAAGAAGGACTTAGAGAGTTCCCCCCTTCCTTCTGGGGAGCACACCAGAAAATCCCAAGATGTTTCCATTGAGAGAGGTCCCACTAGGACAAAAGGAAATTGGGTTTGTTAATGTTCCCCTCACTGATAATGAGCAATGTTTGCATGTATAGCTTTTTGCATCCTTTTGCTTTCAGGCCTACCTAGGTCATTGCTATGAACAATGTTGGTGTCCCCTCAAATTCATGTATTACAATCTAATCCTCAATATGTTGGTATTTGGAGGTGTGGCCTTTGGAAGGTGATTAGGTCATAAGGGCTCTCACTCATTAATGGGATTAATGATCTTATAAAAGATACCCCAAATTCTTGCCCATTTAGCCTCAGAAGACATGTGAAAAGATGACAGTCTGTGAACCAGGAAGTGAGCTCTCACCAAACACTACATCTGTGATTTCTTGATTTTGTACTGCCCAGCCTTCAGAAGTATAATAAATAAATATTTTTGGTTTATAAGCCACCCAATCTATAGTATTTTGTTACAGCAGCCCTAATGGACTGACTATCATTATATTTGAACTGAGTTTCTAATAGACAGTGTATATAGTTGAGTCATGTAACAGACTCTTAAAATTGAGACAGGTTATGGAGACACCATTTTACCTGGGTAAAATGGGTCAAATTTTCAGTACTAGCTTTGAACAAAAGTAATTGTTATGCATGTGCTTCTGGAAGGCCACAGGCGCAGGTGGTCCCGTTCCCTCTCGGCTGGGACACAGACCCCACTGGGATGAACTGCATGTTGGCCCAGGACAAGGATGCTTGGGGAAATGAGACTTGCAAAAGCTTTACTCTTTCCTGCACTAAGGAAGTCAGACCCAAGAGCAATCCCCACTTTTTCCATAGGGAAAATGAATCACTCCTCATGCTTCTCTAGGCAAGGGGAAGGTTTCACAACTGTGGGGAACATACTGACTTGTGCCCATGTCCTAAATTTCTCTAAAGGGGGCAACTTCTCAAAATTACGCATCCCCTGAGTGGATGTTCAGTGGTACTGTGGAAAGAGAAACCTGTGCAACTCGTTGCCATCCAGCTGGACTGGGACTTCTGCTTTAGTCCAATTGACTATTCCATTTACCCTGGCATTTCTCTCCACACCCAATGAAAAATAAATTTTTCATAGAAATCACAGATCATTACAAGGATCCTTTGATTTGAATGTATACATTGACTCAATAGGAGTCCCTAGGGGAGTCCCAATGAATTTAAAGCTAGAAACAAAATAGTTACAGGGTTTAAATCAGCACTATTTTGGTGGTCCACCATCAACAAAAATGTAAATTGGGTCAGTTATATTTACTATAATCAACGAGATTACTTACTCATTAATAGAATTAATGTTCTTATGAAAGAGACCCCATATTCTTGCCTATTCAGCCTCGTGAGGCCATGTGAAAAGATGACAGTCTCTACCAGCAGGATGGCCTGGGAAAATAGGATTACTAAAGCCGTATAGGGACTCACCACTTTAGCTAATGAATTAGCTGCAAACTCTGGCATCAATGACCCTTTTACAAACTGGTTAGAAGGATGGTTTGGAAAATAGAAAGTTATGGTTGCCTCTGTTTTAACATCCCTTGTTATGGTTGCAGGAGTTGTAACTGCTGTAAGATGCTGTATGATCCCTTGTGTGAGAGGCCTGACTCCGAGGCTTATAGAGGCAGCCATAAACAAATACTTATGACATACACCCAAAATAATCTTCTGTTATTAGAAGGTAAATTTGATTATGAAGAAGAGAGTAAAAATCTATTAAGAGAAATTTGAAAAAGGACCAAGTGTGAGTTGGAATACATTGCTGGGAATAAAATTAGAAATTCTTAAATAAGAAGAGGGGGAACCATTAGAAAAAGCATAAAACCTAAATGTGATTTATTCCCACCAGGACATTTAAACATTTTAACAGTAAGGTATTAACAAAGGGCCACATGGTGGAAAATATGCCAAGAAGCTGCTCAGGCTGAGAGAGGGGGAGGGGAGGATTGGTAAGAGCCTGGCTATACCTGTTTTAAGTTTTTTAAACCTACCAATGAAATTAAGACAAATGTAAGAGAAGGCCCAATGTGGATATAATTGGCTTACGTGACCTCTGGGAAAGAATGTGAACTCTGTAGTACTCAGCCAGTGAGGAACCAGGGGAGGGATTCGCATACTAGGGAATAAACTACTTGGTGCCAGTGGCCTCAGGTGTGCCTGCCCGCCACACACCCAATCTTGCAAGACCATCATTAAAGCCTCACTCCACTGTTCTCTTTGTCTCCATGTTCACTTGTTGAGTTTGGACCAGTGAGTGTGTTTCTCACACTCATTATCTCCATTTCTTTCTGTTAACTAGAATGCCTTCTGCCTCTATTCCTCTCCCTGGTCAGATTTTTCCTACCTTTTATCCTTTATCTTATATTTCTGTTTTCTTCATGTATACAGCAAACTGTTACACATTTTTTCTTAGATCAAGAAATGCTGTGTGTAAGTAAACTCTCCACTCTTGATCACATTTTTAAAAGTTCATGTGCACCTTTCAAGAAATACCAAATCACCTTTACTAAATTTAGAGACATAAATTCCACACCATTTAAAATATGTCTATCAAAATCCATGAGCAGGACTATGTAGGACCAGAGTAAAAAGAGTCTAGAATTTAATTTGGCTACATTCAGAATCACTAGGAGTTTTTTAAGATTGTA